CAGCAGCAGCAGCAGCAATAGTAATAGTCAGTATCACCAACAATACTGTGACAATAGACTGTTTTCATAGCAAGATCGTCGTATGAAAAGCCGCACCAGAGCAAAATCAAGCCTGGTTGCTCCGAAATCCCTTGTCCTTCATTTCGATCTCGCCGCTTCATTGGCTAGGAAGCGCGCTTTCGAGAGTGACAACTAAAAAGAAATGTTCGGTGCTGATTGCTGATGCATCGCGATCCGTATCGGTCCTACCCCGCAGATCCATTCCATATGCTAGAACAAGAGGCCCATCCATACTGCCACACTTTTTGCAGCGTAGGTCATTTCCTCGCCAAGCCTGGGCTCTGAGGCGGAACTCCAATTGCTTCGCGATCCTCCGACGATGCAGAGCAGCGATACTTCATCTACCGTCGGGACCTCTCCGTCTTTTCTTCGAGTTCCGTAGGTCTTGTGAGTAGGGCAGTTGTGTCAAGCAGCATGGTGTGGAAATTAGGCAGCTACAGTTCATGATTGGCAGGCTCTTGCCGCCTTTCAGTCTGAGGCTACGTCTACGAGATGGGGAAGATACTCAACGCGGATCCAACGCGAATTCAAGCCGTGGCCTTGCAAAGTGTTGTGCAAGATAAGATATCCAAGCTGCGATGCTTCGAAATGGAGGTGGCGTCACTCTCCAATGGATCGGTGGTGGTGAACACCGTTTTCAAGGTGGTTGGGACTTGGAATGCCAGGCACTCAATAGGCCCACTGGGTCCGCAGAGGCAGCAAGAGTTGTACCTTCTACCGGTGCCCTGCCTGCCTGAAGAAAGGACATCAAATCCACGGACGAGCGCAGTCCCTGGGGTCTCATTTCATTACTGCCCGGCACCCAATGCAGAGAGACCAGCTTGAGAAAAAATCAACCCATGGCCTCGTGCGCTTCCTCTCGCCGGTTACAACCCTGTGCAACAAAAGATGCCAGTGACGGGGCTGAGCTGAGTGCCATGGCAGGAAGGCGCTACAAGCTGATACCAGCTCGCAGCTGTACCAAAGTCGGCGCCTTGAGTTTGTTAGAAGTCACAGCTTGGTTGGAAGTGAGGATTCCAAGCACATTCCATGTGTCATGGGCAAATGATCTCTCGTCCCGACGATGCGAACCGCTCAGGCCCGTTCTTCAAGTTCATCGATCGCAGTGCTATGCCGGAGCAGTTTTCCAAGAAACTGCACGCGCATCCGGGAATTGTGATTCCGGTGACTTATTGTCATTAACATGTGGACCTGGTGACGACTACTTCAGGCCGCTGCCTGTTCGACTGTGCGACGATGGTGTCTTCAGGGTCTTCTGCTGCCTCCCCAGTGTAACTAGATTCTAGATTTAGTGCTTGTCTTCGCAGCAGTCACGGGGTGCACAGATCATGACACTCAGAAGAAGCCTGCGACATCCATGAAATCGTAAGCTCAAGTTGAAACAGACTGCAAAGTGTTGGAGCTCTTGGCACCCGCATGGATTAGTTAGCAGAACCCTTGCCCATTTTGGGTA